TTCTGAATCTTTTTTTTGTCATGCGATGGAATGCCGTGTTGCAATCTACAGCTGTAGGTGAAATTGAAGTCGGCAAGACTTATTGTTGCTACAAGTTTTTGAGTCAGGGTGGTAAGGTTTTACTTACATAGGCGAAAACAGAATCTGCATGAAAACCGAATTATATGTCAGATTGTTAATTTTCAAAGTAAACAGATCCGCAGAAAACAATTTTTCAAAAATTCGAGGTATCAAAAAGACTGACAAATTTGCAGCATATTTCCGACAACGACTCGCTAGCCGCTCGCTTATCGGCTGAGATAGAGGCAGAATTAATGATTATCCTCTCTAATGTGAATGGCGTCTACACAGGTAAATTCTATAACAGATCCGATTTTAAATTCTATACGCCAATAAGTAAGTGAAACCAATGGGTCATGCACGCGTTTTGTTGAGGTCCCCCGGACATGGAAGGGTCTCGTCTGCTTCACACTTTCGTTCCAACAGAGGATGCAGCCGTTGTATTCGGAGCCAACAGCAAATTTGGTACCGGAGGAATGGAGAGCAAGGTATTTTGCTGCTTCGTATTCTTTTCGTTGCTCAGTGCTCTGATTCAAGGTGAACGCCTGCGTAACTGCTCTTGAAAATGGTGTCACCACCATAATCACCAATGGTCTGGCGCAAAATGCTATCACTGACGCGTTTTCTGGAAAGAAAATTGGAACTATGTTCTGCAGAACACATCTCCACGAAGGTCCACCTATCGAAGAAGTGGCTAGTAAATGTGCGTTTAACATAGACGATGCCCGCAAAAAGATTGAAAGCGAAGAGGGTAGCTAATCTTTAGGTCGCGACTCCGGCAGGCAACTTGCCTCTCTCAGCAATGCGGAAAGAGCGGCCATGGTACGTCATCTTGCCGGACTGCTCGTGGCTCGCGAAAAAGACATCATGGATGCGAATCGTCTGGATATGAATAATGCCAAGAACAGTGGTGAGTTAGATGTTGGTTTTGTCCTTCAAGAGCTTGTGCTGAGTTATATCAAAGCAATGTCATCTAGGACTTGAA